GATAATAAGGGCAATGGGAGTCAAGCGCAGTAAATGAGGCGCAAATTATCCGTTAATCCTATTTGTATTTTGTAAATTCTTCTTACATTCCAAACGTTTCGATTCCATTTTCGGATCATCCTCAGTAGATACATATATGCATGATAAGAATGATTTGAGGTCGTATTAGTTCATGACTTCTTCGCATCGATAAACGCAATAGTGCAATATCTCGAGGGCCTCTATCCAAACAATTCCACAGCTGATGTAGAAGACACTGTATAATAAATATCATTTGAACTGTTTATGATATATTCACGAAATAAAGTTTTTTTAATGTGTCTAAAAATGAGAAGAACAAGGAACTGTTGGAGACTCACCTCGATGATATCGCCGATTATGATATAACAATAACTTATACACAGAAGGAAATAAATATTGTATATTGCAATAGCATGGTCACAATTAAAAGAAATAAAAAAAAAATTTAAACAGAGATATAAGATAATAGTCGGTTAGTAAAAAAGAAAAGAAGTAAACACGTCTTAAGTCACACTGTTTCGAATCAATTATAAAAAATGTAAAAAGATAAATAACGAGGATAAAAAGTTCAAAAGTGTTATGGAGTGAATATGGTCACACGCTTACATATTACAGGGGTATACATATGGTTAAGAAAATCCATGTCTGTTTGCAAATTGATACCGTTTTTTTTTGTAGTGTGATGTGTAGCATTTCTAGAATTAATCGTTTGTTGCAATTTTTCTCCACATCCAGACTTTCACGTTAGCCCAATCGAAATCGTATGTACCTTGTGTGTACCTTGTGGTCAGTAATGACTGAATGTGTAGAGATATCCCACCTTCCTATGTGACTTCGATGTTCATTGATTCTCGTTTTCAATTGTCCACTGGTCTGACCCACGTAAGATGCATCCCAATCAGTGCATTGTAACTTGTAAATAACATTTTTTTATCCGAAAGTGAAAGAGGATCTTTCTGTATCTTAATAAAATTGTTTAATCTATTGATACTGGCTAAAATGACTAATTTGGTTTCTGTATCTTTTAATATATTTTTAAATTTTTTAGTGACATCTTTCAC